TTGATAGGAAGACAAAACAACGTTGTAAATCTTAGTAACTCTAGGTTATTGGGTTTGAGCAGGAGAGACTTGACTATAAAAAAATACTTATTATTGAAGCTTGGACAAATTTTGTGTGAAAAGAATACTATAGTAGATTGCTTGAAGAGACAATTCAAAGAATACTTAGGATTGAGTCAGAAGTGACTTGGTAAAGAATATTTGTATCTTTGATGAGATAGTGGAATTTGATCTAGTTAGATGAAAAACTAGACATAGTCTTAATGGTTGGGATGAACTAGTATAAATCTCTAAGTTCATTCTTTACTTTGTTTGCTCTTTTATATCTATATCACGGTTACTACTTCAGTACACTACAATAAGTGGGACTTTTTAGTAACACTATTCAACTCCCCTTCTAATTTTCCTTTTTTCTCCACAGTTTATTGTTAGATCGAGTGCTAACCACTAGGCCAAAAACTATATTTGATAGTCAAGGCGTTACTCTTTCTACTTAATACTAGCAACCCAAATGCCATATGTCTCAACTGTGACTTGACCCACCTAAGCCTCTACCATAGGGAAATTGATGTCACCCGACAAAAAATCTCTCCCTCAACAATTGCTCCTATTGAGAATTAAACAGACAACCTTAGCTTTGATATCAATTGTTGGATCGAGTGCTTACCATTAGGTTAAAAGTTATAGTTGATAGTTAAGACGCAAATCTTTCTACTTAACCATAGCAGCCTAAGCACCATGTGTCTCGACTATGACTTAACCCACCTAAACCTCCACTATGGGACAATTGATGTCACCCAACAAACAATAACCCCTTAAAATTCTATTCCCACCAAATAACAATTTATTTTCAGAAACTACTTCATTAAGTCCATTTACAATTTAGTCAGTAATTATTTAATTATTAGTCCTTTTATACATCACATACCTCTCGCATGAGACATAATTATCTTGCACAACTAAAATCCTTTAGCTATAATGTTGTCATGAAAATGCATTGCTTTCTAATCCCTACAATTAAATAAATGTAATGTGATGTGTGACACTCTCGGAAAGAGTTTGAAAATAAAATTTACTGTAAAAGAAATGTTCACAAATTCCTTTAGATAGAGGTATCACATATAAAACATATCAATCACAAAGTAGTAACGTAAATCCTACTATGAATGGAATCAATAAGCCATGAAATCCTTGTTAAAAATTATTATGTGGCTCATATAAAAATTTATGTTTAGTTAATTATCCTATTAATATAATTAATTAATTGATAATAAAGAGTTGTTATAGAATAATAATTAAGTATTAAGAGTCATAATAAGTATGTTTATTAGTTCTTAATGGAGCCAAGGTCCATCATTTCAAATGTCTTCATCATGTCTTCTTTAAATTCTGTTATCATCTTCATATTGTTCCCTATGTAGATAAGATCATCTACATACAAGGAGATGATGAGTGTGTCATACTGACCTTGAGTCTTGATGTATAGTGTTGACTCACTCTTACTCCTCCTGAATCCATGATCAGTGAAGTATTGATCTATTGTGTTATACCATGCTCGAGGAGCTTGCTTCAAACCATATAAAGCTTTTCTAAGCCTTAGTACTTTGTCTTCATTGCCCTTGCTTATGAAATCTTGTGGTTGCTCTACATAGATCTCTTCTTGTAGTACTCCATTGAGAAAAGCGGACTTGACATCTAACTGGTAGATATTCCAGCCTTTTTCTGCCGCAAGAGCTATTAGAGCTCTAATTGTATCTAGGCGTGCTACTGGGGCAAATGTCTCGTTGTAGTCGACTCCAGGTTGTTGTGAATAGCCCTTAGCTACCAACCTTGCCTTGTGCTTTTGTATGGTGCCGTCCGGATTGAGCTTTGTCTTGTAAACCCATTTTACCCCGATGATATCTTTGTCTTTTGGATAGTCTACTAGATCCCATGTGTTATTTTTCTCAATCATTTTTATCTCTTCTTCCATAGCCTTGACCCATACTTGTTGCTTTGATGCTGCTTCAAAGCTTTCAGGTTCAAGTATGGCCAAGTTGCAGGTTTCATATATATCCTCCAAGGATCTAACTCGTCTTGGAGTAGACTCTGGTGATGGAGTTTGTTGTTGTGGAGGAGAATGAGGCTCACCTGGGACTTCTGTAGTTTCTTCTTCTGGTTGTTGAATTGAGATAGGAATGTTTTTCTCTACTTTCTCATCATTCCAATTCCAAGCCGCATTTTCATCAACTTCAACATCTCGGATAATAATTAGCTTCTTGGTTTGCAAGTTGTAGACGCGGTAGCCTTTTGATTGTATGCTATATCCAAGGAAGATACCTCGTACTGTCTTGTCTTCTAGCTTGTGCCTTTTCTCTTCTGGAACGTGTATGTAGCAAATAGATCCAAATACCCTTAGGTGCTTTGCTGATGGTTTTATTCTGCTCCAAGCTTCAATCAAAGTCTTATCTTGGACTACCTTAGTTGGGCATCTATTAAGTATGTAGATAGCAGTATAAACTGCTTCAGCCCAAAACATGTTTGGTAATCCTTTCTCCTTGAGCATTAATCTGGCCATCTCCATTACTGTGCAATTTTTTCTTTCAGATACTCCATTTTTTTGTGGAGAATATGCAACTGTAAGTTGTCGCTCAATGCCTTCATCTTCACAGAATTTATCAATCTCATGGGAAGTGTATCCTTTGCCACGATCACTTCTAAGTACTTTTATTTGTTTGCCACTTTGCTTTTCGACAAGGGTCTTAAACTTCTTGAAAATACCAAAGACTTATGATTTTGCTTTTATGAAGTAGACCCAAGTCATTCTAGAAAAATCATCTATGAAGAGAATGAAATATTTGTTGTTATGGAGTGACGACGTCCGCATTGGTCCACATATATCTGTATGGATCATCTCCAACAAGTCCTTTGCTCTCCGTGCTTTGCTTGTTGAAAACTGTAGACGATGTTGCTTGCCAAGGAGACATCCTTCACAAGCTTCACTATTCTCTTTTAGGCATGGGAGATCTCTCATCATATTTTTTTGATATAATAACTTTAAGGCATGTATATTAAAATGGCCAAATCTTCGATGCCACAACCATGAGTCGTCTACTTCTGCTTTCATGGCAATGTTAGGGCCTTGTCTCAGGCTTATAGGGAAACTTCTATTCCTCTTCTCCATTTTTACTCGGCCAATTTCTAGTTTTTTATTGTCATATATTTTACATGTGTCTCCTTTGAAATGGAGAGTATAACCTTTCTCCATCATTTGGCCAATGCTCAAGAGATTTTCTTTAAGATTGGGAACTAGTAGAACATCTGTAATAAGTCTCGTACCTTTCTTCGTCTCCACCATAACTGTGCCTTTGCCTTTTGATTCAACGATAGTGTCGTTCCCTATTCGAACTTTCACTTTGACGGATTCGTCAATATCCTTGAAGATGTTTGCATCTTTGGCCATATGATTGCTGCAGCCGCTATCCAAGTACCAACTTCCACTTGTTTCACTATTGGAATCTTGGGTAGCATAGAAAAGATATTGCTCACCATCTTTCTCTTCAGCAAAGTTTGTTTGATGCTTATTTTTGTTGCGGCAATACTTCTCCACATGTCCAAATTTTTTGCAGTGGGGACATTGTGGTTTTCTACGATATCGACAGTCTTTCTCGGCATGATTTGTCCTCTTGCAAATGCCGCGTGGAGGATATTCATTCTGATGATTTCTAGAGAAATTTCTAGAATTCTCTTTGTTTCTAGAAGTTTCTCCATTATTCCTTTTATCTTTATTTTGATACTGTAATTTGAGCTTTGATTGAAAGGCATTTTCAGTTGAGTCCTCATCATGCCTATTCAACCTTTGCTCATAAGCTTCAAGTGACCTCATCAACTCTGTTACTGATAAGGTAGATAGATCTTTTGTTTGCTCAATTGTTGTCACGATTGGATCATATTTACGGGGAACACTAATTAGAATTTTCTCCACAATTTTCTTGTCAAGAATATTTTCCCTGTACGCTCCCATTTGGTTAACTATTTCTTTTATCTTAGAATAGTAGTCCTTTACGGTCTCAAATTCCTTCATATTTAACAATTCAAAGTTACGTCGTAAAGTTTGTAATTTTACGGCACGTACCTTTTCACTTCCTTCGAACTCCTCCTGCAGTGTAGTCCATGCTTCTTTGGCTGTTGTTGCACCCATTATTCTCGGAAAAATTGTGTCGGTCACAGCTTGTTGCAAAATGAATAACACTTTTGAATTCTTTTGTTTGTTCTCTTTTAACTCCTTTTTTTGAGCCGCAGTAAGAGATGATGTGTCTTATGGAGTAGAAAATCCTTCTTCTATCGTGTCCCATAAATCTTGGAAGGTGAAATATGTCTTCATTTTTGTACTCCAAAAATCATAATTTTCACCATTAAAAATGGGAATAGGGATAGATGATGGTTGAATGGTGTTAACCATGGATTAGAATTTGTTTATTTGAAAGTGGGTAGAATATTGGGAATTTTTTTTTGGAAGTAGTGGAGTAATATTTCTACGTCCAGTAGATGACCGAACGTAGCTCTGATACCACTATTAGTTTATGAATTATCAAATAGTAAAAACTTATTTTATTGGTAGAAGGAACGGGGAGACAAATTTATAATGATAGTTTAGAGGAATAGTTGGAATAGATTTGAGTAGTGAAAATGACTTACTAGTTGCTTGGTCTACAAATGTTGGGTACATGGCCTATTTATAGGCCTCAACACCACATTCATGTTTTATGTAGAAAATTCTAGAGATATCTATTTCTAGAATTTTCTATCTATATATAATTATCTGCATGATTCTAGAATTTGTATCTAGTAATTACATGCATACCTATGTATTTTTCTATAAGAATCTAGATTATTCTAGAAGTCTGTATCATATTTTAACAAGTTCATATTTTATTTAGTTATTTTACTAAGCTTATTTCAGACAAAATCTAGTATATTCTTCATTAAATCGTGGTTGACTTGGAATTCTACATGGAAAATATGAAGAATCAAAGCACAAAAGTTGCTCCATTTTTCGTGTTTATCACGATACACTTGGCTCAGCCTATAAAGTCAATATCCAAATAAGGGAGCTCCATAAAAGTTGCTCCATGGAAATTCTTTCTTTCATGATTATGGTTGCTTGGTCACTCGTTCCCTGTATCATAGCAAATGATTCTATTAACGTATCCCAATTTATGAGTGATGGGAAAACCTTGGTGTCAAAAGGTGGAAAGTTCGAACTTGGATTTTTCAGCCCAGGCAGTTCCCAGAAACGTTACCTTGGCATTTGGTACAAGAATATCCCAATGCAAACAGTTGTTTGGGTTGCAAATAGGGAAAACCCTATCAATGATTCCTCAGGCATCTTAACAGTGAACTCCACAGGCAATCTTGTTCTCACCCAAAATGGGTCTCTTGTTTGGTACACCAACTCTCACAAACAAGCACAGAATCCAGTGGTGGAGCTCTTGGATAGTGGCAATCTTGTGATAGGAAATGAAGGAGACACGGACACAGAAGGTTACTTGTGGCAAAGCTTTGACTATCCTTCTGATACACTCTTGCCAGGGATGAAGTTGGGAAGTGACCTCAGAACTGGTTTGCAACGGAAATATATTGCATGGAAGAGTACAGATGATCCATCACCAGGAGATGTTTATAGGGTTTTGAAACTCTATAACTATCCTGAGTTTTATTTGATGAACGGAACAAAAAAGTTGTTCCGTTATGGACCTTGGAATGGCCAATGTTTTAGTGGAATGACAGATCTACTAAACAACACCTATATTTTTGGCTTGAATTTTGGCTTGAATTTTGTGAGCAATAAGGATGAGATTTACACCACCTTTAGCCTCGTAAGTGATTATGTCATCACCAGAACTGTGACAAACCAATCAGGTTCAATTTCTCGTTATGTTTGGGCGGTGGGTGAAGATCAAGATTGGAAAGTCTATAGATCCCACCCTAAAGAGGATTGTGACACTTATGGCCTCTGTGGACCCAATGGGTATTGTGTAAGTACTCAATCACAAGCCTGCCAATGTTTAAAAGGTTTCGGTCCAAAGTCACCAAAAAAATGGAACTCTGCTGATTGGAGTCAAGGATGTGTGCGCAATAAACCATTAAGGTGCAAAGACAAACTCACAGAGGGGTTTGTGAAATTTAAAGGCCTCAAAGTTCCAGATACTACACATACTTGGTTGGATGAGAGTATTGGTCTAGAGGAATGTAGAGTCAAGTGCTTGAATGATTGTTCTTGCATGGCCTTTACTAATTCAGATATTAGAGGTAGAGGTAATGGTTGTGTCATGTGGTTTGGAGATCTCATTGACTTGAAACAGTTTGAAACTGGTGGCCAAGATCTATATATCAGGATGGATGCTTCTGAGTTAGGTAACCACCATCAACTTTGATCTTATTGATTATTTCGATTAAAACTTTAAAAACTCAATTAACATCACTCTAACTTTGGCCTTAATTTGCTTTCTTTCTTTTCTTTTTAATTAATTTCAACCCTTAAGAACATGGGCACAAGAAGAACACGATAGTTGCTGCCACCGTTGCTGCAATATGTGGGGTTCTTATGCTAAGTACTTATTTTATTTGCAGAATTCGGAGGAATAATGCAGGTAAATTCTTTACGCACTATTTTACTAAAAACATGACTGCACTTTTCTTGCAGAGTCGTAAATATGAAACTGTAAATTTAGTTATATATAATAATTATTAAAAGAATATTTACAATAAATATAATTAATTAGAAAAAATAGGTAACTTTGTTCGTACACCAACATTAAATTGTATCTCACTATCATTTTATAAATTTTCAATATTGACTCCAAATAAAACAAAATTGTTGGGGTCCCACATTTAGCAAATACATGTCAAAGTAACATCATCTATTTAATTTAATATTATTATTTGATGTGAAATTTTTGACGCTATTCGATTCTTACCGAAAATAAATGGAATTTCTAATAGAAACAAATAGAATAAAATTTTAGAAAGTATTTATTTCATATATTAAAACATCATTTATGAAAATATATATAAACTAGATATAGACCCCACGATGCGCATATAAAAAAAGAAATTATTTAAATTAAAAAATATATTATTTTATTAGTTAATAATATAATTTTTTAATTACGTAATATAAATTTGTTATTGACTTTTTTACAACAATTAAAATTATTATTGTTTATAAAGATAAAATATTATTACAAATATTTTTTTATTTATATTTATAAAATTTATATAAATAATCTATCATTAGACTCTTTAAAATTTAGTTTAAAATGAATATTACAACATTTATACATTAATACTAAAATTTAAAAATATAATAAGATTAATAAGATTAAATGGGTAAGAAAAATAATAAATCTATATGTACTATTTAGAGTAAGAAAATAATACTAAAATTAGTTATTTTGATTTATATATTTGTGGCAGAAAATAGATCAGCTCCATGATAGATTTTTTAACACCCACTTTTAGTAGTTTGTGGTATAATTTTAAGTAGAAAAAAATTTATTGCTCTTTTTCTTAATTTGAATTTCTTTGTAAATATATCTATATATTATGTAATTCAGAGTAAGAAAATTTTAACTCAATAAAATATTAAAAATAAAAAATTCATACTTGAATAACTGAGTTCATTTTACATGTTGTGTGATTTTATATTTAATCTTATATTTTACATTTATTATTACTAAAACTATATATATATATATATATATATTAATGTCTTTGTCAATCATCATCATGCATTGCAAATTAATTTTATTTATCATTTGTAAATCAAATTTAAAGATGTATTATATGTCATCATATTTTAGCTACATGTGCAAAATATTGTAATACAATTTTATTTAATTTTTAAAAAATATTTTGTTTGACTATCTCACTGAAATAATAGATTATTATATGCCCCATATTTTTTAATATTTATTAAAAAGGTAGAGTTACACCAAAAAATAAAAATGAAATGGATCAAATGAGAATAAAAAAAAATATCGTATAATTTAAATACTGTATTATAATTTTAAACAATTTTTTGTTTGAAATTATTGTATTATTGTGTAAAATAATAATATTGGAATGAAATATTTTACAATTTAATTTTAAATTATAAATTTTATTTCAATTCTTTATTTTTTATTAGATTCAAATTCAAAATTACAAGAATCAGATGAATAAATCTTTTAAAGAAGCTAATAGTTAAAGATAATATATTCAAATAAATATTTAATAAATATTTCTTATAACTAAATGATAAAATAGTCTAACCCCAAGCGTGTGGTTCAGCGGTAGGGGTTGATCCACGCTTAAGCAAGGTCAGGGGTTCGAATCCTGCCTTGTGTATGCAGCCGCGTTAAATTTTGGGGCCAGCTATCCCACCCTTTGAGGTGCCTAGGAGATTAGTCGTTAAATCTTGGGGCCAGCTATCCCACCCTTTGAGGTGCCTCCAACGTAGCGAGGAGATTAGTCATTGCTATCGGCGGTGGATACTCTAGGGACGAACAAAAAAAAAAATGATAAAATAGTCTGTTTTAATATGTTAACAAATTAATAAATTTTCAATAAAGAATACATATATTCATTATTTTTAAATATGTAACTCCTTATATACAAATTCAATTGTTAAGAAGATTGTCTAAAAAAAACTTTCTTTATTATTGTTTACAATTAATATTAACAAAAAATTATTATTTTTCTAATTAATGAACATAAATGTCAATTAATAATAATTTAAAAGTATCAGTTACTCTATATTAATTATAACAGTATTATAATATTTTAATTTATAATTACTAGGTTTCGACAAAAGCAATTTTTTTAATGATGATTTATAATTAACATTAATATTAATATTAATTACTATATGTTTTTTTGAAACGGATCATTTAATCAAATTAAATTTCTTAAATAGTAAATTAATGATTAAATATTTTAATCTACAACTAATATTAATTAATATTACTTTATTCTTATTTATAATTAATATTAAATTGTTTGCAACTGAAAATGTAACAAAATTTAATTATTAATTAATAAAATCATTAATTTATATATAACGTAATTTTAAATTATCATACATTATAGTTTTGACGATAAAAAAAATATTTTTATGTTACTCATAATTAATAATACTTTCATAATATTTTTTATATTTTATTTTATTTGTTACTCAATATTGTGACTATATTATATACTTTATCAAAATTATTAATATTCATTGGTAATAATATGGAAGGAAAATAAAACTAAATTGATTTATTTAGTTAAGAAATTTAAAATGTATTATCCCTTGAAGAGAAAAAAAAATGTAGACATGAGAAGAAAATAGAAGAAAAATAAAAAAAAAAATCACAAAAATATTAAATGATTTGATATTGAAGGACAATAAAAATAATATTATAGAAAGTGCTATGTAGATAATATATCATTGACACTTTCAATTTTTAATAAAAATAAAATAAATAAATCATATTAAATCATTACAATGAACATGCAAGTGATGATCCACAATTTCAAAGTATCTAATTTGTGATTCTTCCTTTTCCCCAAGACCGTGTATCAAATCTCATATTATGTGTAACAAATTAAGAATAGTATAAATAAAAAAAGGTGAAAAAAGTCGTATCTTGTATTTTTGACAAAAATTGTCATGTGAGATAAAAATTAAACAAAGATGATATAAGATAAATTAGATAAAATGTAAATATGTAATATTGAAGGTAGATGAGGGGAAAAAAGGAAGAAAAGGTAGTATCTTTCATTTCTGATAAAGATTGCCATGTGGGATGAAAATTAAACAAAGAGGATGAGAGATAGATTAGATGAAACATAAATGTGTAATATAAAGGGTAGAGGAGGAAAAAAAAAGTAGTACCTTTTTTATGATAATGATGATTGTAGTGGAATAAAAATTAGAGAATAGAGAAATGAGGGTTAGATTAAATGAAATGTGACGAAATATAATATATAGAAGGTAAAGAAAAAACATGATAGAAGATAGAAACTTAGAGAATTTGTCATATAGACAAATATGATGCCATGACGACATATAAAATTAGTTTTAGAATGACATGTCAACTTAATAGAGTGCAGCTTAGTTTTTATATTATAAATAGATGAAAATTAAACAAAGATGATATGAAAAAATTAGATAAAAAGAAAATATGTAATATTGAGGATAGAGGAGAAAAAAAGAAAAGAAAAAAGCAGTATCTTTTATTTCCGATAAAGATTATCATGTGAGATGAAAATTAAACAAAGAGAATGAGATATGGATTAAATAAAACGTAAATGTGTAATATAAATGGTAGAGGAGAAGAAAGTAATACCTTTCATTTCTGATAAAGGTTGCCATGTGAGATGAAAATTAAACAAAGAGAATGAGATATAGGTTAAATAGAACGTAAATGTGTAATATAAAGGGTAGAGGAGAGAGAAAAAAAAGTAGTACATTTTTTTATGATGACGATGATGATTGTAGTGGAATAAAAATTAGAGAATAGAAAAATGAAAGTTAGATTAAACGGAATGTGGAAAGATATAATATATATAGAAAGTAAAGGAAAAATATGATAGATGATAGAAACTTGAAGAATTTGTCGCATAGACAAATATACTGACATAACGACATATAAAATTAGTTTTAGAATGATATATCATTGTAATAGACTGTAGTTTAGGTTTTATATTATAAATAAATAGATAGATTTGAGAATGTAAAGTTCTCATGTTTATTATGAGTTATGAGTTTTAAAATTATATTCCTATGTATTGTTTATTTTTTTAGAAAGTAGTTATGTCAAGATTAGAGTTATTTAGATTCACATGGTATGAGATATTGAAAATTATATTTCTATGAAAGTGTATAGCAAATGGTATGCAGAGGAATTAATGAAACTTGATATCTTTGGATCTGATAAGCTGTAATGAACTCATCGAGTTAGTGTATAGCAAATGATTCTCCTACGGATATGGTTTCACACAAGCATAAATGTAGAACCAAATGAGCCAAAGTTCGGAGGGAATTATGACAAATGTGCCAAATGTAGAACCTTATCTTCGCTGGTGACTGAATTCTCTCCATATCCATGTCCAACCATAGTACCATAGTGTTATTGCACAAGCCATTTGTAGCCTGACTTTGAGTCACGGGCACCATTAGAGTTGTGACTACACACAAAATTGTCATCAAGGGCAAGGTGTGTAAGCATAATTTTAAAAATCGGACTGATCATCAAATCGATTAGGATATTGGGTTAGTAAGTCAAAAGTTGAACTAGTTGGTCACTAATTGAACTGCATGACTGATTTTTATTATTTTTTCATAAAAAATATTCATGATGTTCAAGTGAAAAGCACTAAGAGGAGTGTTGCTTTGGAAGTGTAACACCCAGTTTTTTAAAAAAAATGGCATTTTCGTAATTATTGATGGCATTTTCGTAATTTTAATAAAAGAATAAGGGTATTTCTGGGTGTCGGAACGGGCCGTTCCAAATGCAGAACGGGCCGTTCCAAAAGAAAGAATATGCTTGTTTTTAAAGACCCAGAACGGGCCTGGAACGGGCCGTTCTGGTATGGAGAACGGGCCGTTCTGGAAGCAGTACGGGGCGTTCTGCTGAGATTGAGAACGGGCCGTTCTGGTTTCAGAACGGGCCGTTCTGCTTTTTGGGAACGGGCGTTCCGATTTTGGAACGGGCCGTTCCAGTTGA